ATTTGATATATCTATCTATGCTATTGAGAAAGTAAAAGCTATATTTTATGAATGACTTAGACAATATTTCAGAAACACTAATAATAATTTCAAAGTGAAAGAAAATGGCTTTCGAAATGCATATATATTTGTTAAACATTTTATCAAGAAGTTTTCAGAACTATAAAGGTATAGGGGATGTTATAAATGCGTTAACCAAATTTATATTAGTTTAAGAATAGTTCACTTGTTGTTACCTCACTTTATTAGGTTGCAATTGAATCTTTTAAGACATTTAATACTTAAGCACAAAATATTTTTTTTAACTCAACTTTTTTTTTGTCACTTATTTGTCATTAGTGATAGATTTGTTGTATAATAACAATTCAAATGTATTGAGTTGTTCATTCCTAAAACTATTGGAGATAAATTTTATTGATAATTTATTGACTTGTTTATTATATTTTGTTTATTGTTCGGAGATAAGTATTGTAATGGACATTTTATTTTTTTTAACCTATTCATTGTGTTTAATTATTCTATTTTCTATTAATATATATAAAGTGGTTGCATCTTTTCTTTGAATGTACCGTTTTGTATTTCTATTCATCTCTTTCTTAGCACTAATTGTGAGTGTATAGATATATTAACCACAATGTTGTATGTTCTATTTTATTTTTTTTAATATTGATCATGTTAACATATTTCATTTTTATTTTCAAATTATCTTTAAAAATCCAATTATTTTACAATGATTTTTTGTGGTTGGGATGTGCAATGAGTACTAGTATTATAAATTATTAAAAAAATATAAGTTTAAGAATGATGAATCACATTTTAATTATATTTATTAAGTTATAATATAGTATAATTATATTATATTATATTATATTTGGATTTAATTACGTTGAATTAACTGCATTGTTGTGGATATTTTAATTGAATTTAAATGATAAAGATGTGTTAATTTCAAATTTTTAGCATCTCTAACATATGTTCATTGTTTTGATGATATTTTAAAATACAATTTGAATTTTAAAGTGATTTTTGTTTTATTAAAAAATTATTTTTTAAGGCTTCAATTTTATGGTAATTTCGTGAAATTTTTTTCTAAAGTTGAGAAATACTATTTGCGCAAGTTGAACTACTATAACTGCAGGTAGAAATCATTGTATTTAAAATCTATAAAAGGGAGTCTATTACAATTTGTAATTGCATTAATCATAGGATACCTAATTAGGGTTACTACAAATTGCTTAGTTTTCTTTTCTTTTAGTACCTTTGAATTTCTTTTGTTATTTTTCAAATTTTGAATTTCAATTTGAGATTGAGCTTCTCTTTTTTATTTCTTTGTGTTGGTGAATTTACACATAGAAGAGTAAACACTTGAAGATTGATGCTCTAATTCAATTTTAATTATTAAAATTTGAGATTGTGTTCTTAATCAAATTTAAATTTATTTTATCTTTTATTATGAATTAGTAGAGTCTTAGATTTGATATGAATTTTAAATTTGCATGTTTTATGATATTCAAATTTCATTCCTCTCCTTAATACATACTAAACAAGTACTTATAATCATATTTATGTTTAATTCTACCTAATGAATTTAGGATTTAAAATCATATTTGAGTTGCTTCAATTTCATATATAAGTTTAAATAAAATTTAATTAGTAATAATTAAATTATTATTATGAGATAATTAATTGACTAACCTGAATTTAATAAATATTTTGTATATTATTCACGTTATAAATTTTCTCAATTCTAATTAGTGATTAATTAATTATCTTAGATAAAATTAAGAGTAAAAACAAAGTTGAGATTTTATAACCAATAACCTAGGATAAGTTTAGTATTAAATCAAAATTAAAATTGAAATATTAATCATTATTATTAATTAGTTTATTTTAATTTAATTTTTGATAATTATTCATCAATTGACTTAAACTCTTTTTTTCAATATGCGTATAATATTTAATTATTATGTCTAGAAGTATAACTTAGATTGATTTATTTAATACTATATTAATTTTATATAATATTTTTATGAAAAGATACTTCGATAAATAATTAATTAATTTGAAATTGACGCTGAATATTGGATTTTTTTAATATTTTTTATTTGTTGAACTTGTCTGTTGGTGGAAAGAACAAGGGACATGCATTAAAATTTTCTCTCCATTATTGCTGCGATTTTGAGTTTGGTAAGACACATAATTATTAATTTTTTTACTACTAAATAATTTTTCAAATATAAAAAAAAAGAAGCATTGATGACAAATATTATATTGTTTAAATTTTTATATTAAAATACTTTTTTTTATAAAATTATTTTTAAACAATTTATTTATTTTACTTATGTAATCAAGTAATTTTTTATTTATATTTTTATTCATGCAAATAATACATATTTTTATATTATTTATTTATTTATTTTATCAAATCATCCATACAAAGTCTTAATTAAAAGGTAGAATCGTCGTATACAGATTGCAAGAGATGTCCCAGTTATTTTTGGCGTCCACGAAGCGTCTTCTCAAGTAATTTTTGGCTGAGATTGACTATTTTAACTCTATTATTAATGTTTTTCGACGTATCTCATGTGAACGTGTCAATTTTGAAAAATAGGAGTTCTTCTTTTGTCAACATATGTCAGATGACAAGAGACGTATCATCCAACCAGGATCGAGTGCAAATTAATGTACTCTATATCCACTATCTTGGTATTTCTACGAATGCGAGGCTATTAAAAAGCCGAAACACGTTTTTGAATTTGTACACGTTTTCTAATTTGTACCGGGCCGTGTGGAATAAAACAAATGAATAACGCGATTATTGAGCCGTAGTTAAATGAATTGAAACACTACTATGTTATCTAGCAAAAATAATACACTATTGTATTAAAAATAATAATAGTATACATTTCTTAAAGATTTGATTATTTTGATATCCATTCTAATTTATTTAGCAACTTTTAATAAATAAGTAGCATCTTTATCTTCTTCTTCCTTGATATTAATAAAAATTATTTAATTGTTTAAAAATAGTTATAATCACGTATCCCACGATAAATGTTTATAAAGAAAGTAAAGAAATTACTTAAGCTTTCTCGAAAGATTGCAATACTTCATACCATATATTTCATGATGCAATGATTCTACTCATTATGAATTTAATACGATTATACTTTATGTGATTTTCAATCTCTATTAATCACAAAATAATACTCCAAGATATTAGAAATATCAAGATACCATTTAACTAATTATTTCATTTAAATCAAAAGAAGATTAATCATAAAAAAAAATTCTAACATTTCGTTTACTAACAAGATTAATTTCATATAACATTTTGATGTCAAATTTGTCATTTAAATTAGGGTATGTTTAGATTAGCATTGCAGAATCTACACATGCACACTTTCAACTTAAAAAGCTACTGTAGATATGTGCGTCTGCGAGCTGATGCAGAACTAAACATATTGTTAATTAGATCTTTGTCCTATTCAAAAATTCAAAATTAATTCTAACAAAAATTAAAATAGGGCAACGAAGGAGGATGGCGTGAGGTTTAGGAGTTTTCAAGTTTTTAACGAGGCATTATAAATTCGTAAAATATTGCAGTCATCAAATTTTCTGATGGCTCGTGTCATGGCATTGGCAATCACTAATCAAGGCTGCATGAAGACGTGTCATCTGAGCCATTGGATGAAAGAAAAGGGTGCTGCTTCGAGCGAAACACATTGACTATTTTCCTTACATTTGAAGTTTCCCAAATTATGGCCATTCCTATATCTATTTTCCAAATATCCTTGTCAAATTATTTGGGGGAGAAAGGAAGGATGGGTGTTTTGCAGTTAAAATGGCATATTACATGGATAGGGTCATGGAAATATAGGTCCTGGAACGAGTGGACAGCACCAGAATATGGCACAGGAATGAATATTTTGTGGTCCTTCTTACCCACATACCAAAATTTTTACACGGAGGTGGAGGGTGCTGCATAATAGAATTTCCCTTGGAGAGAACCTTGCAGTTGCCATAAGTGGTTTGATTGTCCTAGAGTGTGCCCGAGGTGCATTGACTGAAATGAGACAGTAGAACTTGCTTTTCTAGATTGCTTATGGGTCCATGATGGATGTATTAGAATGTACTTGATGCAATGATCATTCCTATGTACCAAAAAAATACAAGAAAAAAGGAAGCTCCAATGATCAATGAATCGGACTTAATAGAACGAATTATTGATGAACAATAACAAAAGAAGCTACTGTTCTAATACACTGAAAGAAATGTTAACATAAGTATAACATTCAATCAACAGCATCAAGTCACCATTAATCAACTTAAGAAAAGACAGAATTTAAGTTGAATGTCAGCATCCCAAAATATATGATCCCTGCTCCATAATATTCTGAGCAATATGGCGACAAGTTGCTTTATAGACGGCCATCTACAACCCTTCTAAGTGCCAGGCAGCAACCGAAGTTTAGAGCTGCAGAATAAATCGAAGAAGCCAAAAGCACGAGGTTGCCACTACTACTCTGGGGTCAGATAGGGTCAGGTATCACTTTCTTTCTTGAAAGATTCCTGCCTTTTGCCAAACATTTCAGAGGAACAGCAACCGTTAGGACCATAACAAAGTTAGCCATAGAGACTATATTAGCAAGAGACAATTTACAACAAAGTGTGTGATTGGTTGCCCATTAAAATTAGTTATTCGTACGCTTGAGATGTGAAAGCTAATCTTAATAGCTTCAAAATTACGCACATTCAAACTTAGTAGACACAGAACCAACACGGGGATAGTGTATATTTGAATTCAACGTGTTTCTAAATGCATCGCAAGTTTGATATTCTTTTCTCAAAGGATAAAACAACTATATAGTTTTCTCATTTTCCACACTGAAATCAATATTTTTCTCCCAGGTCTTGTCCACCTGACGAGTATCTGATGCGGACTTGAATTAAAACAGCATGAAGAATAAATTCATCTTTAGGATAGCAAATAACAAACGATCACTTTGCTTCAAAGAATTTAATAAAATAAGGAGACGACAGGAATGAAGGGTTCATTTGATTATACTCGATTGCCTAATCTCCAAAGATAAATAATTTATACGAAGTCATCTTCTAAGAAAATGCTATGCAGAGGCTAAACATCTTACTGATTGTTTCATCAGCCTCCAATAACAAGGCTGACTTTTCCCACTCTGCATAAAATTAAAAAGCAGAAAGAACCATGTTCGAATATACATATGTAGATAATATTAAATAAAGCTGTTTGATTATCCCCAACATCGTATCCATCTCAGCAGATAGGTCGCTAACTAAAACTTAATTGCAGGATCTCAAACGAACAGAAAATAGAAAAACTACTATTAGCTCCAAGTACTCACTATATGACATAACTTTGTCAATTCAATGCTTGAAAACCAGATGCAGAGAAACCTTTAGACGAGCTAGTAAAAGTCACCAACATAAGTAGTGAGACAAACTATTTAACATCCTTCAAGTTTCTGAATATGCCGTGTGTAAGAATTCTTTGCAAATAGCGGAAGAGAAAAACAGACTGCGGGTGAACTAAGGATACAATATTTAATTACAAAAAGGGATTATGCTTATGCGTCATACAAAATTGAAAACTATTATTGCACATAGAAAAAGGGTAGGAGGGGATTACTTTACACATCCTTAGTTGCAAAATTTGTTTGCAATAAGTAAATCCAATGATCTCATAAATCTAAATTTTCTAAACAAACAATTGTTAACTTGTGATACAACAGTCTAGTTTTGCCTATAAGCAATGTAATTAGCTAGGGCAATCAAAGGAGCAGCCTTATCAGGGTCAAATCCTACAAGCTGATCCTGTGCATCTTTATTCAATTTTTCCGCAAACTCCTTAGATTTCTCAATCCCCAAAAGCTTAGGGTAAGTAACCTTATCAGCCACAAGGTCTTTCCCCGCAGTCTTCCCCAATTCTAGTGAAGACTTTGTTACATCAAGAATATCATCAACAACCTGAAACAGCAACCCTATATACCTAGCAAATTTCCTCAATTTCTCAACCTCATCATCAGAACCGCCACCCAGAATTGCACCAAGAACAACGGCACCTTCAAGCAACGCCGCGGTCTTATGAAGGTGAATGAACTCAAGTCTTTCAAGTCCCACATCGGACAAGCCTTCCGAATTTATGTCGACAACTTGCCCAGCGACGAGTCCCTCGGCGCCGATCGACCGCGCAAGCTCGCCAATTGCGCGCACGATCCGCGCCGGTGACACACCGACGGTGGAGACGGCGATGTGCTCGAAGGCAAAGGCGAGAAGCGCATCGCCGGCGAGGACCGCAACGTCCTCGCCGAAGACCTTATGGTTGGTGGGCTTGCCTCGCCGGAGATCGTCGTTGTCCATGCAAGGGAGGTCGTCGTGGATGAGGGACATGGTGTGGATCATCTCGATTGCGCAGGCGGCGGGCATCGCGGTTGCCTCGGCGCCGCCAACGAGTTCGCAGGCGGCGACACAGAGGACAGGCCGCACGCGTTTGCCGCCGGCGAGGAGAGAATAGCGCATAGCCTCGTGGATCTTATGTGGCTCGCGGAGCGAAACGGCGTCGTCAAGCGCCTGGTTGACTGCGCTCGCTTTATGAAACATGTAGGACTTGAAATTGAAGACGGGTTTCTCTTCCGCTTCCACGGTGTCCTCTTCCTTGGTCAGCACTGCAGAGACAGAGAAAGAAGAAGAACAACAAGAAGAAGACGAAGAAGAAAGTTTATGCCTTTGCGGTTTTGTAACAGTGATGGAGGAAATGGGTAACTTAGTGAGACCGTGAAATAGATGAAAGGTTGGGGATCTGGATCTCGTTGCTTGGTTCAAAATGAAACTGGGGCGTGCCCATGAGTTAAGATTCACAGCACTCATGTTGGGGTTTTTGCGGGGATTAAGCTGTGTTTGGGTGTGAGATTGTGTTATCTCCTGAAAATAAATTAGAATGGGGGGCTAAATGGAAAGGTTGGGGCTTGGGTAACTGTCACAGAGTTGTGGTGGGTTGATGCGTGAGTCATTATTCTTCGCCGTGAGGGTGCATTGAGGAAGGGAAGTGGAAAGTGGGAACTAATGAGAGAGGCAAAAAGAGAGGATTACTAGTGGGGCTGGCAAATGGTGATGGATAAGCTAGGCTTCAACCAATGAGTCGATGACCAAGATAGGATCTTGGGATTTTGGGATTAGATGAGATTCAACTATCGAGGCACAGGGCATCTTTTGCCTTCCCGCAATTTCCTCCATCTCGTGTCGTTTGTGCCATTTCCTTTGTGTGGCTCCTGTCCGATAAGATAAATAAATTGCTTAATGTATATATTTTTAATTAACAGATTACTCGATGCAAAAGGTGTATTTGTGCCCTGAGATTAATTTTATAAACCATTAGTAAAATAACGTATTATCGTTCTATTTAATCGGAATTTGTTTCGCGTGTACAAAACATAATCCCAACAGGTCGGATGAATCTATCGAACACGTTTTTCCGGACCTAAATATTGCCTACCGTCATTACTATCCTCTACAAAGTCTGAAATGCAATGTTTTGAAAATTGGATAAGTCATAAATGAGGGAAAATATTAAAATTTATTGATCTAATAATGTGTGTGTTTCTTTACGTGTGTTCTTAAAGTTACGTTACATTTTGTTTTGCATGAAAATGCAAAATATTCAACATAGTTAAGTATGGAGAATCTTGTAAATAAATAAATAAATTCAAGAATATTCTTTGATTGAATTTTAATTTTTTTATGAAAATTTTAAATGTATTTTTAGTATAATTATTAACTTAACATTCTAGAAAAAAAAAAGTAAAAACAAAAAAAAGTAGAAGAAGAATTAAAAAAGAATAATAAAAAAAATTAAAGTAAATAATTAGAATTAATATTCAATTGTAATATGTAAACGTAATTTTCAATAACAATTAATATAAAATTGTTGATTTTTTAGTTATCAAATCTATTTTGTGTAAAACTTTGGCATACATAAATTTGAATGTAAGTGTTTTTAGTATAAAACTCGTAACATCTAAATAATAAAATGAATAACTACTTAAAACATGATAATCTAAAAATACAATGGCCTAAAATAATACATTTTTATAACTGCTTTTGTATATTATTTACGATCTTCAACGTATATTTTAATTTTCAATTGATAATAACTACTGATAATTGTTCTCAATACATTTAATTTAATTTAAATTTTTTTTACATAAACTAATAACTTTCTCAACGTCTTTGTTATTTGAACTTAAATGCTTTTAAACTTAAAAATAAATTCTTTTAGATAAAGTAATATTTGATTAACCTTGGAAGAAATACTTTCTCTTAAATCAAGTTTGGCACTTTTTAACTATATCAATATTTTCAACGACTTCATATTATAAAACTAACTGACAAATCTTTTGATGTGTAATCATATTTTTCTATTAAACCTGATTTCTTTGGTCACCATTTTTTTATGAGAACTTGTCAAAAATATTCTTTTATTTTGACTAAAATCTATGTTTTTGTTTTTGCCACAGTTTTGTCCAAAAATTTGTCAAAAAGTCATTTTTTTTTACTAAAAATATTTTTTGGCATTTCATTTCTTTACAAAAGCTTGTCAAAAAGTAGAAAAATTCATATGATCATATTATACCAATTTTAGTCAAAGCGTGTACTTAGACTATACAAAAGCCATTTAAACTCTTAAAGACTTATTACAAGCTTGCATGATGGACCAACAAGGGACTTGGGACAAATATCTACTCTTGGTAGAATTTACCTATAATAATAGCTATCACTCTAGTATCAGGATGGCACCGTATGAGACATTATATGAAAAGAAATGCAGTATGCAGAATACCATTGTGTTGGTACGAGTCTGGAGAGATAATTTTGCATGCACCTGACTTAGTTCAAAGGCAGAATGATCAGATCAAGATGATTAGGGAAAAGATCAAGGTTTCTCAAGACAGACAGAAGAGTTACTATGATGGCTAGAGGAAACCGTTAGAGTTTTAAGTGTGGGATCATGTATTTTTGAAGGTTTCACCCATCACTATAGTTGGTAGAGCCTTGAAATCCAGAAAATTGTCACCCAAGTTTATTGGATCCTTCAAAATCTTACAAAGAGTTGGCTTAATAGCTTACCGAATTGCCTTACCACCTAACCTTTCAAATCTGCATCTAGTCTTCCATGTGTCCTAACTCAGAAAATACATCTCAAATCCATTTCATGTGATAGAACTTGATCCTGTTCAAACTTGAGAGAACCTCTCTTATGATGTATTTCTGGTGAAGATTGTCGATTGCCGAGTCAAGCTATTAAGGGGCAAAGAGATATCACTGGTGAAAGTAAGATAGAGTACAAATGATAAAAGAGATGCAACTTGGGAGCTTGAGAATAAAGTAAGGGTGGTCTATCCTCATCTCTTCTAAGCAAGTGAATTTCGGAGGCGAAATTCCTAAAACGGTGAGAGAATTGTAACATCTCCATTTTGTTATTTATTAACTTTGTATTTTGTGTGGATTGTTAATATTTGTTTCTTGAAATTATGAGAGTTTTAGATGTGTAAGTTGTAGGATTTTTTGCTATAGTGAGATGTGTCTCGCTGAAGTGAGAAATCAGAATCCAGAATCAGGCATTCTCATACTTTTTTACTGTAGTAAGGATCTTCTCGCTATAGCGAGGAGCTCTCACTATAGCTAGAACGACAGATAGCAAAGTGCAATTTTGTTTGGTTTTTTCGCTGTAGCGAGAATATCGCGAGTTGAGAGGTATTTAAAGGTTTTCAAGTTAAGAAACTTGGATTATAATACAAGTTACGACCCTTCTACATTCTCTCTGACTTCTCTCATCATTTCCTCAAAAAATCCTTGAAAAATCTCAACCTTTCTTCGATCAAAGCTTGAGAGTTCACTTTCCTTGCTTCTTAGTAAGTTCTTGGAGCTTGGTTCTCCATTTTTTTAGTTATTTTCTTGATTCTCATTCCCTAAATGAGATCTCTTAGGATATTTAGGAAGAACTTCACGTTTTAAGCAAGAATCTTCAAAAATCCTTTACTAAACCTCTATTTCAAGGTAAGGAGAGCACTATTTTGTTACTAAGAAAGTGGTATGCTTGAATTCATAAAAATGTTATGATGAAATGTATGATTTGAGTATATATTGGTGAAAACATGTTTTTGTTATGTTTGAAGCATGTTTTGTGATGTTTGATGATGTGTATGATCTTTATTTTGAGTGTAAATGCATGTATATGGTAGACTGAGTCCGAGAGGACTAACTCTCCATAATGATTGAATGATGTATGATGTAATAATGAAACTAGAGTAAAATAGAGAGATAAAAGTGTGAATAATATGTTAGTAAATAGATAATGAGAAATATAAAGATGAGATGAAAAATATGGAAAGAGAAATGAAATGAGGAAGGAATACGATAAGGACAAGTATGGATAGTTCAGAGGTACACTGAGAGTGTGAAAGATGGAGACGATTGAGAAATCTTGGGAAAATGAGGGTGGTGGATGCTCTTCTTGAATTGCGCAAAACAAATGAGAGTAAGAGCACCACAAGCCTCACACTTATTTCCTGATTGATACTTTTGACCATGCTTTTGCCAAAATGGGCTGGGTCAATACACGTTGTATCCATGAAGCTGCTACTATCTAGCAACTATCTATGCTAAAGAAGACCTTAAGGGATCTCAGGGGCAGTAAAAGTGCATAATAAGAACTCAAGTATTAAGAGAGAGATAAGAATAATAAGTTGAATATTTAAAGATTGTTGCATGTATATGAACATTATTGATTATTGTATTACTTTTATTTTACTGTGTGGATAACTGTGAATGTATGCTTAGTAATATGAATAGAGACTCATTCTTATGTAAATATTTTAAGGAACCAGGATGACGCACCCACAGAGAGAATTAGGCTTGTAGATAGTTCTATACATAATATACTTAACTATGTATTTAACGAATATCAGAGGTTATGCTGCTTTAGAATTGTTGTACATGTTAATGATGTGCCTAGGGATATTGTTATGATGGAAATGGACTTTTGAGTGAATTACTGGCACGCAGGTTACTGTGGATTTAGGTGATTAATATCTTGGGTCGGATAAAGATCTTGATTCTTATGATATTACACGTTTCCTTTTTAATTTGTTTAATTTCCATAGATTCATTCTCTAACTTTTTATAAGTTCAAGCAAAACAAATGAAATGTTTTATAATTCTACGTCTTATACTCAACTGGCAAATGGATTTAAAATTAATTATTTCTTTTTGACTAAAAAAATATTTTTTTATTGTTTTGAATAAAGTAAGGATGTTACATCAAGTACAATGATGATGATTTTAATAGGCTTGTTTTGTGGAATCCAACCACTAGAGAGGCTAAGCATGTGGCCCGTTCTTATTACCCTAACTGGCTTCAAACAAATTACTATTTTGATTTTGGTACTAATTCCAACCCTTTTGATGAGTTCAAGATTGTTCTAGTTTTTTTATTCTTCCCTAATGATGATATAACTAGAATACCTCTATATGTTGCTGAACTTTACAACACTAGAACTGATTCTTGGATTGTCTTTATGATGTGAATGACTTTTTTCTTACTTTTACTAGTACTTCATTTACCTTTTAGTACCATACTTTTCTTAATGATGTTAGCTACTCACTGTATTATGACAGTATATTCATCCTTTGTTTTGATTACAATTCCAACCAATTTTTGAAGCTCAACACCCCAACTCTAAATGGTAAAATATATGAGACTGACAATTATGTTGCATATGTTGTAGGACACACAATTTTTGAGGATCAAAGACAAATTGGATGTGAAATTTGGATTTTAAAATGAGACAATAATTATATATGATATTTTAAAATAAGATATGCAATATTCACCCATTTGACTACAATGTTAAAATTTATGATATTTGGAAAGATTACACTTCATAGAATCTGAGTGTCAACCATCGGTGTTATATAACATAAATGACCAACCATCGAGACAATTTCAATACGTTATACCTCAAAACTGTATGTTCCACCACTTTAAATATTTGGAAAGCATAGCTTTTTTATCGGTGTAACTAAAAAATATTATGATAATTTATTGTTACTTGATGATATTATTTGTATTATGATTATTTGTTTCAATAAATTAAGATATTTTTATTTATTTTTAAAAAAATATAATAATGTATTTAGAATTATAAATATAAAATTTGGATGATATCAGATAAACGCCTTGATCATGTAATTTTTAATAAAGTTTAAAGGGATAGATATGTTTTTAATCATTATAAAATAATTGAAATTTACTCTTTATTCTTATAAATTTTTGTTTTTGTTTAAACTATAAAGAACTAATCTCCATTATTAACAACATTAATAGCTGGCGTGGTTAGTAGAACTTTACATTATAATACATTTTTCATTTCTTTAAAAAATAAAAAATATAAAAAATTAGCCATTCATATTTAAAATAAATATTTTAACTTTTAAATATATATATTAATTTTAAGAATATGATATCATAAATAATTATATATATATATATATATTTGTTTTAATTTATTTTATTTAATAAACTATCTGTAATTGATTATGTCTTGGGAATGAATTGTAAATTTATTGAAGACTTAATTTTTTTTATTAGGAAGCATAGGAAGCACTTTTTTCTACCTTTGTAATTGAATGATTTTTTTAAAAAAATGAAAAAACATTAAAAGCACTAAAATTTGACCTCGAGATCATAGGTTTAAAGTAAAATAACTCCTGCAAGTTAATATATTCAGTGGTATTGATAATGTAACACTTCAAAATTTTACTACTTTTAAATTAATTATTAATAATATAAATTTAAATAAATTAGAATTATATAATATATAAAATTTTAGAAATTAAAATATACTTAGCAAAAATTTATTTGAATGTCCCTCTTCCTATCTAGAATTTATGATGGCGCTATTGATGACATCGTCAACATGTATGGGCGTGCTAGCAAGTATGGTATAGATCAGTTCTACTCTCTTCACTACAAAGGTGGAGGAATGGCATACATGCATGAATGAGCTAAGGATAAAAACACTATAGACTTTTGCTGGTAGAAGGAGGTGCTTTGTGGTCAGATTCTTAGGCTGAAGCTCCACGTCAAACTTTCAGTTCTGTCCAGCTTTGCAAATTGCCTAAAGGATAGATAGACTTGTAATCCTTATCTTCAAGGTAATTGAATATGGTGAAGTGCAACTGTCCAGTCTGCCTCTCCACAGCAGGTATATTCAGGATTCTTTAGATGTTGGAGGGGAAAAGTCTATTTCTACCCTCTCACCATGGTGTGTCTGTGGGAGAGTTGGTCGCCTTTGACCCTCACGGCATTGGCATAAAACTCTTAGGTAATTTCTTTCTACCCATTACCAGCACATGAGGTGAAGAGATCCTATCCTCTCTTCTGGATTTTCTCTTGAAATTAAGGGTAGCTACCCTCCTAGATCTCAAAGTTACGATCCTACACTATTTGTCTCCTCACTATGTTGGCCCTGAAGTAGCTTTCATAGGAAACTAATATGAATCTTGGATCATGTGCAGGTGGAGGCCTGGATGATGAAGCTCCAACTGTCCTAGCTCTCTTAGTTCTAAAAGTGTTTCTAGGTGTGTTCACCATTTTGCTGCAGGGAAAATAAAAAAAATAGTGAGTGGACTATGTACAGATGCAGTAAAATATGAGTTCAAATTCAGATGCAACAACAATTATACACTTCTAGTTCTTAAACAGAATGTGCACAGTGAGAGTGGATATCAGAGTAATGACTATAAGGTGATGTGCTACCATAATGGTCACTATGCATAATGATAGTAATTACTTGAAGGTGCAGTATGACAGATCATTTATGTAGGAAAATAGACACAAAACACTTCAAAAATGCAAGTGATATGTTAGTTTATGTGTAGATGGTATTAGGCATTTATGAGAGCAAATATGCAGTATTTGTGCAAGAATATGTAGTGCAGAGTGATGACTATACTGCCAAAGTACTCACTATGGTAAAGGATAGTAACTACTATGTAACCTAAACCTGTCAGGGTATTTATGCAACAGTTACTCAAGTATACGTTCAATCAATGTAGAGAAATGCAGCTATCGACAGAAATGCAGGTCACAGGTAAGGTTTATGCAAAAATTTGCAAAAAAGTCATACAGAAGATACGTAGTGCAACCTAAAGTAGTTACTTTTGGTTTTAAAAGAAACTCACACACACACACACAAGTGAACACTATTGGAAATGAAAGTGACCACTTTTGATATGCAAAATTTTGACAAGGGTGTGTGTGGTCTATGTGGTCAAGCCTACTTCCAGTAATATCAATACAATTATACATGGTTTGGCAAATGCTAAGTGTAAAAACACAATAACACAACTGTCCCAAAATTTCTCAGCTCAAACAGTCTTAGAGTGATAATTATGAATCAAGATTTATAGCACAAAGTAATTACTTTCATGCATGATATACATGTCAAATTTAGCATAGCAGAATTCTATGTAATTTAACCATGAAAAAATGAAATTCAAGGCAAAGAAATCATTGTGTACTCAAAATGAACCTAGAATAGGCATTGTCATATCATAACATACAAAGTAAACACTATTACAAGTGAAAGTGGTTATCCTAGAGTGCAAGCATGGCAAAACTTAGCAATTTGATTCAATTAAACATCTCCATTATCCTTTAATCATACAATCTTATCTAAAATCACAAGTTCTACCCAACAATCTCAACCTAGGTGTTTCTAAATCAAAATTCCCAATTTGTACAGTGAAAAACCCTAGTTCAAAGAGTGAGAAATTGAGTAATTACTTGATTGGAAATGTAGAACTGCGTAAAAATGCAAGGAAATGAGATCTTTGATGTAGAAAAATGAGTGTGAGAGGAAGAATGCAAAGAAATTTGAGAGGGGAAGTGAAAATGCTCAAAAAATTAGAGAAAAGTGAGTGAGAAAGTGAACATTTTATATATGTAAGTGGTGGAAGTAATCACTTTCATGAAGGATGGTAAACATATGCACTCTGTTTTAGCAAGTTAGTGATGCGCGTGTTTACTATTGTGCACAATAGCAATCACTACAGGGATGCCCAAATTCAAAAAGACTTAAAAGGGCTTGTGTGTGTTTACTCTTGTTCACAATAGTAAACACGCACACTGTATTTTTCTCAAAAAAGGCTTTGCGTGTTTACTTTCATCAATGAAAGTAAACACTATAGAGAGTGCCACCTTGTGTAATTGTGAAAGTGCTTAGCATGTTCATTATTGTAAGTGAAAGTTAGAGTTGTCAATCAGGGTTGTAGCCCAGGATCCAACCCTAGCCGGCCCTGAAAAAACCCATCCAGCCCTAACCCGGTGTTAAATAAGAAATAATAGTTAAGCCCCAAATTATATAATCTAAAATATATGGGCCAGGGTTGGGTTATCCATGGGTTGGCCCTGACCCTGCAATACTTTACACAATACGATTAATCCACTTTGTCTTTACGTAAGAACTTTGTCTTTTTTTTTCTCTAAATTACAAGAACCCTAATCCCTTTTCTCTAAATCACACAATCACACAGAGATTGAAGTGGCTAATGCAATAGATTTTCACAGATTCTCATATTCACAGATTTCGTAGATTCGCAGATTTCACACAGATGTAAGTGGCTCCTCCAACACTTCTCAGATTTGCAGCTCTTCGCAAGAGGTGGTCATTCAATATTTCTCAATTCATAGATCAAGGTAATAGTTACTTTGCGACTCCGTGCAAGGCGCTGCAGCTTTTTATGGTCATTCTTTACTTATTATACCTTTCTGCAAATTTCTTATAATATAATCTTTTATTTTTTGTGGCTAAAAGGGCATCATTTATAATCTTTTATTTTTTGGGGGGAATATAATATAATATAATATTTGTAGGATGATCGCACCAAGTCGTTGCTAAAGTATATCTAATAAACATTGTCCAATCATTCATCAGCTTTCAACTACTTAGAATGAAAATAGTTAAATAAAAAGGCAGATATAATATTTTATAATGATGAACAGCGATCTGTACACAATTTTTTCAAGCGACGGTGTGTGGTGGTAACATGGGAAATGGTGGGGAAGAAGGTTATAAATATTTAATATTGGTAATGGGTAAGAGATTTGACTTGGAGAGGGTGAGGTGTGTGGTGTGGTTCTTACAAGGCAGTGGCACGTAGGTGGGAATCACTATCACTTTGAAAAGCATCAGTTTGTATAAAATTGGTGATGTGATTCTATTTTAATTATATTTGTGAACAAATGGAAATGGTGAGAAACTGATACAGTTTAATAATGTAAACTAATCCAAATCCAACCATTGTTTGTGGCCCGCGAAATTTATTTATTTGTAACTATATATATATGAAGTACTCTCTTAATTTTTTTATCAAATAATTCAATTACCTTATTGATAAAAAAAAATATCTTTATTTGTATAATTACAGAGACAAAATTGGGTTGAAAGGGAAAAAATTCAAATTGGCAGCAATGTCTCTGATCCTCACCAAAACTCTGCTAGAATTGGTCTAAGCTTTTGTTATTACAGGTTTGCAATTGTTTGTATATTATGCATCAATCCTTATTTTTGAACTTGATTATTTCTTTCTTACTGAGATTATGTGAAAGTATAGTTTGTAATTTAAATTGTAAAAGTATAGTTTCTAATTTTTATTTTGTGTTTGTTTTAATGCATAGGAACAATAAATTATATTATGGATTCTATGAATAAGACTGTGAATATAGATGATGAAGTTGTTTCTGAAACTCCTCCTGTATTATCTGGAAGTGTCGAGACACCTAAGAAACAATTTTCAAATGTTTGGAAATATTTTACTAAAACTGGTGTAGATAAAGATGGAGTTGAAAGAGCTGTGTGCAAATATTGTGGCCATGATTATGCTATTGGAAAAAATCCCAAGACAAAAAATCATTATGGAACTTCACATTTAAGTCGACATGTTTCAGTTTGTAAAAATATTCAAAGTTCAAGTGTAGATGCAATTCCTACTCAAGACGTAAGTTTTGGTGCGAGAAAGATTAACCAAAAGACTCAACGTAATATTCTTGCACAAGCCATAATCAAACATGATCTTCCTTTCAACTTTGCAGAGTATGATATGATCAGAGAATGGATCAATTATGTGAATCCTAATGTTGTAATGCCCTCTAGGAATACTGTTGTGTCAGATGTTCAAAAAATTTAGATGAGAGAGAAGGAAAAACTCAAAGAAGTCATGTGTAATATTCCTAATAGAGTATGTCTTACCTCTGATGTTTGGACAGCAGCTACGAGTGAAGGTTATATTTGCTTAACTGTTCATTTTGTTGATGAGAACTGGAGATTAGTAAGTAAGATTCTTAATTTTTGTCGAATGAAACCACCTCACACTGGAGTTGAATTAGAAGCCACTTTATTTGATTGCTTGAAGCAATGGGGAATTGATAAAAAAGTTTTCTCTATTACTTTAGATAATGCTTTTGTCAATGACAATATGCAAGATATTTTGAAAAATCATCTTCGTGTGCAGAATAGTTTGTTGTGTGATGGAGAATTTTTTCATGTGCATTGTTCTGCTTATATACTCAATTTGATTGTACAAGAGGGTCTAAAAGTAACTAATGAAACACTCTTTAAAATTAGAGAGAGTGTTAAGTATGTGAGAGGATCTGATGGAAGGATGATTAAATTTCAAGATTATGTGCAAGATGCTGGAATAGACACAACAATTGGGTTAAGATTAGATGTTTCTACTAGGTGGAATTCAACATACTTAATGCTTGAAAGTACAATCAAGTATGAAAAAGCTTTTGATATTCTTCAGGTGGTTGATAGAAATTATAAATATTGTCCATCATATGAGGAATGGAGAAAAGGAGAGAAATTATGTGAATTTTTAGAGCCGTTTTATGAGACTACAAATATGGTTTCTGGTTCTTGTTATCCGACTTCAAACTTATATTTTATGCAAGTTTGGAAGATTGAATGTTTGTTGAATGAATATTTATTGAACGAAGATGATGTTATAAAGGATATGGCTGCAAGAATGAAAGGAAAATTTGAAAAATATTGGAAGAATTATTGTGTGTTGTTAGCTTTTGGAGCTATTCTTGACCCTCGTTTAAAGCTTGATTTTTTAAGATTTTGCTATACCAAGCTTGATCCTTTAACCTCTCATGAGAAGGTCAACAATGTGAAGGATAAGTTTGATAAGCTTTATGGAGAATATGCAAACAATTTTAATGCTACAAGTGGTTCTAAACCTTCCAATGAATCCAATTTGTTGTCAAAGTCACATGGAGATGGAAATAGGTCAAAGAAATCAAGATTGTTCAATGTATGTTCTTTTATGTCATTTTAATTATGGTGTGTTTCTTATTTTTATTTTGTTTAAAGGGTTATTATGTTATATTTTGCAGGAGTTTAAAATGTTTCAAAATGAAACTAAGTCTACCATTGGTAAGAGTGAATTGGATTTGTATTTGGATGAGTCACAAGTTGATTATGATGATACTGAAAAATTTAATGTGCTTTATTATTGGAAAAGTAATGAAAAGAGATTTTCAACACTCTCTATATTAGCAAGAGATGTGCTTAGCATTCCAATCACTACAATAGCATCAGAATCTGCTTTTAGCATTGGTGGACGTGTTCTCACTAAATATAGAAGTTCTACACTTCCAAAAAATGTGCAAATGTTAATTTGTGCTAGGAATTGGTTGCATGGCTTTGTTGAAAGTCCAAGTGGTAATATTTATTTTAATCACCTTTTATGATTATTATATAATTTGTACAAACATAATTCTATTCTTATTGTTTTTGAGTTTTAGATAATGATGAGACAAAAACTCTAGAGTCTAGTATGCAACAAGATATTGAAGATTAACAAGTAGGTACTCAAGGCTGGTAGGTAAACACGAAGCTGTCAACTCTTGTCCTTGTAGTGGTAAAAGTATATTCTGATTATCTTTTTTGTTGGTCTGACTGCATCTTGAATGGTGAAATTAACTTTGTGATATTCGATCAATTGTATGATATCAATATCCGACGTATTGTGTATATTTTGAAATACATCCACTTTTTATCTACACTGGACCTTGGCATTCTTTAATTTGGCAAAATTGTTGATATCTTATTTTTTTGTAATGATTTATTTTCAGTACCTTGGAACTGCAAATTATTGTACTTTCTTAGGTGGTGTTCAATTTGATTATGTTTCGTCCATTTGTGTAATAGTTAATTATGAAATTAAATTTGAGTTGGAAACTTGCAATTATTAAAAAAATTTGGTCCTTGAAGTCCTGGCCCTAACCCTGGCCCATTGGGCTTTTTAGCCAATAGGGCTTTTAATTTATAGGGCTTTTTGGCCCATAGATATGAAAAAAGCATGTAAAAGTTTATCTTTTTAATTTATATGAAAAAAGCAATATAAAATTAAAATCTGCCCTGTTTATAGCTCACACAAAATTTAAAAACTATTTTTTATTTTTACTATTTTTAAGTTTGTACGTGACTCAGAGTATAGAAAAAAAATCATGTAAAAGTTTTATTATTTTAGTATCTTCAGAATTCATGGAAGCATTTAATTTTGTTATTAATGATAATTAGTGAATTTCCTGTGCATAATATGAATATTATTAAATTAAAAAAATTTAAAATATAAATAAAGATATATTAAATTAAAATGTATTAATTTTTAGTATACAAGACTTACATTTATGATTAAAAATTAATTTAATTTTTAATATTTATTAAATTAAACTTGCTGTTGAAATTGATGCTTTTGAAAGAAATATAAGGTGTATTTCCTTATTATTATTATTATTATATATAATTTTATTAAAGTGATTCCGTCAAAAAAAATTTAGTATTAAACTTTATGGTAGTTGAACATAAAATGTTCAACAATTTTACTCTTATTTTTTTTAAAAATAAAACCCTAAGGTTATTTTTAGTATTTTTAAATTCTAAACTAGCAAAAAAAAAAATTGTAAAACAATAACTTTTAGCGTTTTAGAATTAAGAAAAAAATTCAAAAAAAAAATTTGAAATTATTTTTTAGTCTTTTTAAATTTAAAATTAGATAAATAAAATATTAACAAATTTTTTTGACATTTTAGATTTAAAAAAATTAAAAATATATATTTTTTAAACTTGACATTTTTATATTAATATCAAGTTTATATTAATATGTCAATCATTTTTAAATTAATTTTTTACTCATTTAATAATTATATAATAAATTATTTTTTTACTTTTCTATATTATAAGTTTGATCATTTTAGATTTTGAGTGTATAAAAATATTTATTTAAGCATTTTCATATGAAAAATAACAAAAAAATTATAGTAAATGACTTATTATAAAATTGTAAGTTAAGATAAGTAACATTTAATATTTTAGAAATTTAAAATAAGATTTTACTCAATAATTATGTTTTATTAACCCTTTTAATCGCTTTAGAGGTGTAATTTTGATTGTGAGAATTAAATTGTCAATTCACATATTATAAATTTCACTTCCATTTTCATTTTAAATTCCAAATGATATTATATTTTCAAGAGCTTTATCTGTTGTCTCTCTCTCTCTCTCTTAATTTTTCTTGTTTCCTTCATTCCTCTCCTCGTAACATCCTATGTGTAATGCTTGTAGGTAGTCTATTGACATTCTCAATACGTGAAAAAAAAAATTTTAAAAATTAAAAATCCAACTTCTCCAATAAGATATAATTAATTTTGAAAAAATTAAATGAAAGAAGTTATAAATTAATTTAAATCTATGAGAAAAATTCATCATAATTTATTTTCTTTACCACTAACGCTTATTATGAAACTTTTTTAAGTTATGATTAATTTATGAAGCTTATTTACATTGAATCAACCATCTCCTATTAGATATAATGAATTTATACATTTTAATTTATGAAAATGTTAAAAAAAAAAGATTATAAAAAGATGAAGTCTATAAAAAATTATTATATTTTATTTCCGTCTAGTGTAATTACTTATTACGAGACTTATCTAAGTTGGCTCTTACTCATTTTGATTTTCGCATTTCTATAGGTTGGAATTTATCAATCAACCTATCAATATAATGAGGTTAAAGTAAAGTCCTGATTTTAAGGTTGAAATTGTGCGAATCAAGTGTTTTATTTTTTAAGTCAACTAATGAGAGTGTGATAAAAAGAAAGTGTTGTCTGACTAATTTGGACATTGACTCCAAAGACCCAATTTTAACCAAAGAGAGTGGGAAAAAAAGTTTGGTCTTGCTCTGTTAGGTGGACTGCTCTTTAACAAAAATAAAATAGTCAACTAAGCAATCGAAATGGTTCTTATGCTTAAAGGATAAAATATTCTTTTAGGACCAAATTAATAATACTTAAATTATATTTGACAGATTTATGAAAACAAAAGACAATAATAAGATATGATATTCTATTATATGTCATGTCGCACGTTGAAAATAAAATCATTTGTTCTCTCAATGTGACAAACACTACTTGTATATTTCAAGCATTAAAATAGGAGTTTACACATCAATTAAATAAACAAAATAGAAAATATTTAGATGTTTCCGATGTGGAATTTCAGAGGCAAGAAGTGTTTAATTTCTGTCGACAGCATGCCTATGTATAATAGCCCCTTTGTATTTTTGTCTTGATCTACTATGCCTAAGTGAGAATCTGCAAACTCTGGTACGCCTTACCAAACCGTGTCCAACATTGCCTCTGAATTTTAGGACCTCAAAATTATTTTTATTTTCACAGTATTCAGTAGTAATGAACAGAGAAGCAAGTAGGTCAAGAAAGAGTCCTCATAATTATCATTGCAAATAGTATTTCAGGCCAGCAAAGAAAAATTTTCTAGATAAAAAGTTGACCTTTGCAAATGGTCAAAACTCTAAACCAAAAGAACAGACACCAACACACAATGGTAAAATTTAACTTCCAAAAGACAGTCAATTTATGCTGCATTAATTCATTAGAATACAAAGGAAGATAAGGATAGTGGAGAGCCGAAAGAGAAGAAAAATGACACCCCAGTCCTTCACTTGTGTTTGACAATAATGTACAAGGTGCCAGCAGAAAAAAATAAAGAAACATTCAGCTGTCCCTAAAGGGTAATGCAGAGATAATATCATGTAATCTTCAAAGCTCCTCTTTATGTTCGTAGTTGTTCTTCCTTCACATTAATTGAAATGAACAGGATAACACTTCATACAGTAAGCTTTGAGAATACCTCAAGTTGAATTGAGCATACTTTATGAAACAAATGAGAAGCAGGGACAATTTAACATTCCCAAAAACATAATTTAACATCAGTTATTTTCTTTCAAAAAGTGCCACTTTCACTTTAACATGATAAATACAATACCTTTATAAGAGTCTAATGAAGACCACATTATTTCGAGCCCATATCAGAAATTAAATATTCTAATTCGAATTAACACAAATTGTTCCAAATTTGATCTCCACTTCAATGACAATAACTTTCTCTCTTTTCCTGTAATCTAAAACAACTTCAGACCAAAGCTGTTCTGTATGGAAAGAATTTCGTATAGCCTTCACCTGGTTTTATGTCAGACATAACAATCCACAAACACTACAAACACCACCCTTCCCCTAAAAAAAGTCAAACCCGTGGAGTGATCACAAAACTGACATGATCATATAACAATTAAATTGACTAAGAAATAGAAAGAAGCGTTGAGGAAAAATACCACGTATCTTAATTGTAAGTATTCACGTTTAATGTATAATCTCTTTTCTTCAGAGTGAGGTGAGTATTTGGATTAGTTTACTGCTTTGATTTCTCATGCATGGACTAACGATTGTTAGGTATTCACTTACCCCTTGCGCATTGCATTTAGTGAATTTGGGAACAACTTATTTGTCAAATTTAGTAACCGATTTGCAACCACCCAATTGGTTGCAAAATTTGGTTGTCAACGTATTTTTTGCAACGAACATTAATGACCAACAAAATGGATTAGTCACCGAATATCTTAGTGACTAAATTACACATTTAGGGACCAATTGCTTATTTCATCACTAATTTGCTTTGCAATCAATTATTTTCGATACCACCTCAATTTCGTTGCTCCCTAATTTAGTGACCGATTTTTAACATTTAGCAACCATATTTTTTTTTATTACTATTTTTTTCTAGTTGTGTAATTTAGCCTAATAAATAAATATGATTTTTCTTAAATTTATTTTTAATTTTTAATAGTTTTAATTAATAAATTCTTAAATGTGTTTTTAAATGATTTCACCATATTTATCAGATATATATATATATATATATATATATATATATATATTACTTATCATTTTTAGAATTTATAAAGGCTCTAAGCAGTACAGAATTTAAATTAGTGCATATTTAATTGTTAAAATTGTAATTCGAAAGTTTAATATTTTACGCGATTTTAGTTCTGCATATAATTAAATAATAAATATTTTGAGAAAAAATATATTTAATCTAAAAATATAAAAGAAACAAGTTTATAGACGCTCCATAGTTTATCTATCTATTTACATATTTGTTTTATTGGTCATAAGTGTTTATCGCGTTTAACTTTTTATTTATTTAACATCCTTTAATGAAAAAATCACATTCGTTGAAGAATGTCCATAAATTATTTAGAGTATGCAAAAAATCTTCTTAAGTTCTCTCTGCTTATATAGGAAAAATAAATAAATAAATAAATGTATATATATATATATATATATATATATATATATAATATAAAGAAATCAACTACATATACCTTTTACTTTTTTCAAGTTAAAATGTTTAATTGTTTAAAACTTATTATGTGATATCACATTTCTATTGTATTTCCCTCTTCTTTTTTTTAGTGTACAAAATTTTTAACTACTTG